AGAGGTTCAGCTGATCACAAATATGGAAACTAAAGCTACAAAAGAAATATGCCAAGGAAGTTGCAGCAGTCAAAGTTGGCCAAGTAAAGCGTTGCATATGAACCGTGCTGGACCCAGGCTTTCAGAGTCGCCGCGGAGTAGTGGTAGTGCCCTCGCTTTTCACCCGAGAAGTCGTATCTTTTCTTCCCGTTGGAGTGCATATCTCGAGAGCGCTTTACTTTCAGCCAACTTTGACTGCTCACAACTTCCTTGGCAGGTTCATTTTGCAGTTTTAGTTTCCATATTTGTAATCAAGTTTGAAGCTCTATCGATATATCTGGGTCTCCATTCAAAGTTCCATGGGAACATTGAATGCCTTTCCTGGTAAGTCTGCATTTACGACACATTTGACCACAGGAAATCAAGCATAATTTTTACAAGTTTCTATGCAATGAGTACATATCATAGTACAGAAGTCTTCTCAAAAAATTCTTCGAGCCAAGCCAATTTCGTAAACGTTTCAGCCCATTTCGTAAACGTTGCAATCAATTTCGTCATTCTAACCCCAATTCGTCATTCTTGCAAGCAATTTCGTAAACCTTGCAATCAATTTCGGCAAAAATAAAAATTTCGCTGAAACTTCATCCTACAAGTGTTATCAAGGATCCTGATCACGAATGTGACACAGGGTGAATAACGGTCGAAAGAATCCAAAAATTTAAATGGACGATGTTTGCTGATTTCATTCGTAGAGATTAGTACGAAGACATAGGGAGAAAACCCGTCCTGCAGAAGAATCGTTGGCAGCGAATTAAAGCACACATTTGAGAATCTAGTGGAGGAACAGTATATTAGGTATGCAGGTGCGAAACTGGGAGATTTGTGGTCTTCTTGGCATAGTCATACATATACTGCAGCCGCAAATGCGTCATTCATCGGAACAGGGTCGGAAAGGAAGCGATAATAAAGGAATGATCATGCTATACTATGACCATAAGAGTTATTCTGATTAATTGAGACTAGAAACACCTTTCCGGCCTGCACAAGTAGTTGTCGTGGGACAAAACACCTTTCAAATGACTCCGAGTGGGGTCACTGCATGGCGCATACAAGAACGGAATGGATCTGCGCCAAGTGCATCATTTCAATTTACTCCATCGAACTGACGTTACAGAAGCATTTTGAAGGTGTTCAAAGAAGTTCCCTACTACGGCGAGGGAGAATAGAGTTTTCGAGTGGCTTCGAAAATTTCCTTGACATTTCCTCGACGCAGATTTCTCGCGAACTAGAGAATGTTTAAACAATGCGAAAAATTTCGGAAAGTACAAATCTTCTAGTTTACAATGCTGTTCACCTATTTTCAAAAGATGAACAAAGTTACAGTCTTCCAAAAAGTGAAACTCGCATGTGAATTTCAATTTCCTCGACGTCTTCACTCTCGAGAAAAAACGTGCTTGAAAAACGCTCAGCACAATTTAGAAACTAGAAGTCTTGTGCATTCAAAAGC